GCTGCAAAGAGAGTTAAGAGGAGAATCAAAACCAGGAATGTCACAGAAGCCAAAGGAAAAAAATGTAAAGGTGCAGTTGTCAACAAAACAAAGACACTGAGAAAAAGTTAAAAAAACAAAGATCAGATGTATTTGTGGGTATCATGTTTTAGTGTGTACATAAATATATACATATATATTTAATATCTAACAAAGTCAAACATGTTTTAAGACACCATGTGAATTAAACTAAAGCTAGACTGACTAGTGCTAAGACTAGTATTAAACACAAATGAAGAGCTAGATATTAAATTACTGCTGAAAAACACCAAAAATTCTGTTCCTAAGTTTTCTTGGAGATCCTTTAACAGCTCTACCTACACATCTACAGGAATATGTTATCAATTAGTAGCCTATTAAAGGCCATGTAGTCAATGCTGGACTCCTCTCTCTGGAGCCATGCCACTTGAGGAGCACTGCTCTCTAACAGTTCTGCCAAACAGTCATCTAAACCAGGTAAATACCTGTGGCGATAGGGCACTCACTCTTCTAGAGCAAGTCAATATTTCCTATTTGGGAAATCTCTGATTTACTGACAGTTTTCCCTTGCTGAATTAAAAATGTGCCTCTCTGCTTGGTTCTTGTTCTAATACATCTTCCAGGGAAAAGTATTTTATACTTTAAACCTTTATTGTTATTTATGATCTCCCATCCTTTCAAATCATTTCTTCAGAAGACTAAATATCTTTAGTTTCTTCACTTGCTACATGTGTAATACTTTCAGATGACCCACTACTACCTCAGTCATTTTCTTCTGTATACCCTCCAATTTGTGTGTGCTACTCTTTTTTTTTTTTTTAGCTGAGCCATCCTGCCACCTGTTGGCAGCTCAGCGGCTGCTCAGCTTGGGCCGGGAATCGAACCGCTGTTGGTCAGACCTCAAACTCTTGAGTGAGCTCTTAACCAACTGAGCTACTCGGCCGGCCCTTTGTGTGTGCTACTCTTAAAATGACACCCAAAATGGAATGCAAACTGTAGGTGAGTTATGTAAGAGACACAGACATGACTTCATGAGTTAGTGAAGCAATGGAGGCATAGATGTTAAAAGCAATGGAAATAATGTTGCAGAGGCATAATATTTTATATTTTAAGTGTGTCCATCTTTATATTTAAAACTTCAAATAGTATATTAGATTTAAAAATTTCCACAAAAATGCCCTATAAGTTTTAGTCAGTTTTGCTATTAGTTTTTATCTACATGCACAGTTGTGAGTAAGAAATCCCTATTACTTACTGTTGCTATGCAAAATGTATTAAAAAATCAATGAAGAATGATTCGAAGGGCAGGGCCAGAACTAAAACAAAACAAAAATTAACAAAAATCAAAAGTAAATGTGCTTCAAACAGACCATAATGCTGAAATGGGGGATGGGGGAGGAGAAGCAAGGAAAGTATTTATTAAGTCAGTGAACATGAAAACTGTTATGTAATTGAAAACATGCCTCATTTTGTCTGAAAATTACTTGATAAACTAATTCTATGTGTTATCATATGTAATGAAGTCATTAAATTGTCAAACAGTACAACAGAATAAAGCATATCAAAAGGGCTGGAGTTCTTACAGTCCCAAAACTAAACAAATTACTTGCCCTTCTAGAGTCTGAATCAAAAAGATAATGCCTCATCTATTCCACAGGAGCATTTTAAAGGTCAAATAAGAGAATATATAAAAATTAAATGAGAGAACAACATATATGGAAGCACTTCAGAAGCTGCAAAGCACTGTATATTCTAAGGTATTAAAATAGCACAATATTAATTCTAGAAATTTCATAATTTTTAGATGTTTTGCACATGGTATATATAAGTAATGCTCTTCAGTGTCTCTGAATTCTTTAAGTTCTTCAGCTTAATTACTATCATATAATCGCTAATTTTATAATTTTTTTTAGCAGACCTCACACAAAATCTCAACATTATTCACTGCTGAAACATCAATTCTACCTTCGTCATTCTAAATTATTTCCTTGAGATAATGTTTCAAGAAAAGTTTCATGTAAGATGTTTGTGGTTAGAATGAAAAGCTTTCTGATAATACAGACAATGCACATCATTATTCACATACTAAGGCCCAGTGTTAGGGAACAAAAAGGATACCTGAAATTAGATACCTGATCTAAGTATACACTTTATCCTTTAGCTATCCAACTCTTCAAGACTGTTTCAATGAATAGCTGTATCTACAAATGCTGTAGTATTTAGTAAGCCAAGAAATGGCTATTCTGAATCAAGAATTAAATTACTATAATGTAGCCATGTAAAAACGGCTCCAAAAAATGTTTCTGTGCATTAACGATCACCTCTGAACTTACTCCATATTCCCAACTTCACCTCAATTACAAGGAATGTCCACTTTACCCATTAGTTAATATTTGCATTTTAAAGCTGATCTATATTCTTTAAAAATCAAAGACAAATTATTATTTTAAACTTAGATTTGAATTAAGACTTAAGGAGGCTTCAGTCCTCCTCCCATGTCATCATAAAAGAGATTTAAGAGGTTTTCAATATTAAACACAATACATATGTGTGCCTGATGCTTAAAGGTCTTGTGTACTAAATCAGTAAATTAGTCAATGTGCTTATAAAATCCTTAAATATTATTATACATATATACATGACAAAAACAAGCCCTCTATATATCTTTGGTTGATTTTAATATATGTATGTGACTTAATAAATAAATTTATATTATATTCATCCAAATCAATGAATGAGACATTGCACGCTAAAATAGTTTCAAACATTTCGTATTCCATGGTTCATTAAAATCAAGCAAAGGAAAATTAATTAGAAAAATGTATAGTCTGAATATAAATAGCAAAATGTTTCTAAAAACACTTTAATTTTTACCACAATTTTATTTGTTACCTTGGTTTGTTTGGGGCAAGCTGTCGACTGGGCCGTCTGATAGACTGGTTTTGTTGCATCTTCATTGAAGTTCTAGGAGATGACCGTGCAAAGGGATCTGGAGCTGGCGGCTTTTTAGGGATCTTTTTCACCAACCGACTAACCCACTTCTGCTGCTCCTCTGTGGAATTTGCTAGTATCAATAGATTCTTTGCCGTTGAAATATCATAATACACTATAAAGAAATATGTGAAAAAAATTAATGTATAAAATGATATGAACATAAATACTACTGATGAGCAAGTAATTTACTATTTACCTTTGCAAGGTGCTATAATCTCCTCCTTCTTGTCCATGTGATCTTTATGACATTTAATATGGCAGCGACGGCACTCTAAAGCAGGAGGAGGTTTAAACATATGCCACAATGGCTTCATACAAGCCTCACAGTTGGTTGGGAAATGATAGAGAGTAGGAATGAATTCATGTCCCTTGTGGCAAATATAATTGGATTTTTCTCCGACTGGCTCCACTGGAAATTCTTGCTCCTTCTTACTTTCTCCTTCATTGGCATACAGAATCTACAAACACCAAAGGGAACAATGAAGGATTTCTAAACAGGTTATTTGTAGGCAGTAACAATTCTCCTAGTGTAAATAAAATAAGTTTAGCCTAAATTCTTCAATAAGAAAATGAATCTGATGTTCAAACATTAGAAGGTTCTATCTCATCAAGAACTTGAATGACACAGGTCATTATACAGTCACTCTGGCTCCCATTTCAAAGGAGTCTACCCTGTTCAAATGGTGCCTCCTTTTTTTTTTTTCATGACATCTTACTATGTTTCCGCACTTTTATCAGAACAGGCCAGCAAAAGGTAAATTTGCACTTGACGGGTGTCAGAAAGTTTTTCTGGGAGGGAGTGTTCAAAATAATCACTTGAAGAGATGTGGCAGTTATATGACTTGATGCTTTATGACTCAAAAACAGACAACTGGTGATAACTGCGAACACAGCTTTAAGTGAAAATATTTGTATTTGGAGAGTTGAAGAAGAAAGGAAAAGAGGAAAGGATGTATGATATACTCCAAACACACATGATAAGCATCCAGAAAATAACGCCCCCACAGTGCATCAAGCACAATGGCTATGACATAGAAGGAACTCAGTAACTAGCTGGTGGTTTGACTAATTTTAAAATGGAAGTAGTAAAAGGAAAAATTTGGCTTCACTTTAAATTGGAAGTAAAGGGCTCCTAGATGCCAAATTGAACTTCACGAGAAACTTTTTCAACTTTCTGGAAAGCTAAGCATAAAACCAAAAACAGAAGGAGAAGGTTTATGCTTAAAAAATGTTACAAGCAACCTTGAATAAAAGGATAGCACAGGACAGCTACATGACATAAACAGACGACAGACTTTAAAACGTAAAATGGAGAGAGGAATGGAGATTCATCCAAACAGAATAGGATGAAAGTCACAAAAGAATGAACCATCTTTAAATGGGACTAAAATTAAAAGGTAATCTGAAGATGGCCCAAGAATAAAAAAATTTGATATGTCACGTCACGCTGAGAATCTCTAAAGGTGAAAAACAAAACAAAACCAACCGAGCAAGCAACCAAAAACAAAATAAAACTAGGTTTACCTGAAATATCCTTGGAATTTCTTTAGCATCTGCTCTATATACGTCTGTTTGTGTAACTGGTCGGACATGAAATAGCTTGCTATAAAAGATTTTTTTTAAAGAAATACAATATTACCAAAAGATCAAATTACATCAGTTATCTTATACTTATGTCAGAAGTTAAAAGTAACTACTTTGACCTATGTTGTTAGAAAGTCAGAAAATATCTTGCTCTATTAATTAATTCAATCACTCCCTGAGATTTTGAGAAATTTTTGATGTCAGGAAATTTTATTAGTTTAAAAAAACAACATATTAAATAAAGATGCATGAAATAAAGGTGTTTTAGCTAACTCTATATCCCAGGCTTTCGTCTATATAAAGCAAATATAAGAAAATGTAACAATAGTACAGCAGGAGCTATACTATATGAGTAAATACATGTACCAATGACTAATGTATTTCACTAACTTGATAAAAAATGTCTTGTTACTCTCTTATATTTTAAAAAATGAAGTTTCCAAGAATTCCAATAAAAACACTTACTCGATATCTAAAACCATGTAAGGATTAGATTGTTCTTTATCTTGTTCACTGTCATAGAAAAGAATCTTCTTACTGCTTACAATCACATACTGTTAAAAAGGGGGAGGGAAGGAATTAAACTATGATTAAAGTTGATACATCTTATTTTCTTTGAAAATAAATTCTATATTAGCAATCAACATCATATAAAATACCTAAGTAAAATAACCAAACATTCTTAATATATCCTTAGAAAAGTCTTCCTTAAATTAATAAATTTTGTTTGCATATAATTTAAGTAAGCAAATTGGGAAGAAAATGAATTCAGGTATTTTTTGGACTGATTTAGTTCCAAGACCCAATAGCATAGGTAACCTTATTGCTATTTTTTAAATGTTTTTATTTCCCCCAAATTCATATGTTAAATCCAAACACATAATGGGATGGTATTAAAAGAAGGGACCTTTGGAAGGTGATTAGGTCACAAGAGCAGGGCCCTCATGAGAGGGATCAATGCTCTCATAAAAGCAGTTCCAGAAAGATCTCTAGCCCCTTCTGCCATGTGAGGACACAGCCCGGAAGAGGGGCTTCACCAGAATCCAACCATGCTGGTGCCCTGGACTTCCAGCCTCCAGAACTGTGAAGAATAAGTTTCTATTTTTCATCAGCTACCCAGTCTGTGGTTTTTTGCTGTAGCAGCCTGAACAGACTAAGACACTTATCAAAAATGAACATAATAACATCAATACTCATAGTAACAGGGGAAAAGAAATAAATGAGTCTTTCTGTCATTTTCCCACTAAAAAAGCAAAAGCACAAACAAATGTCAACAGGTTTCTGTTTTCCTAACATCAAAACCTGTTTTATTATTAACAACATATTAACGATGAAAAATTTTTTACAAAGATACATCGCATCATTCTAAATCAGAAAGTTCTAACAAGTTTTGTGTCTCAAAGTTATAAGATACATATATATATATATATATATACATATATATATATGTATCTTATAACTACGAAAGTGAAAAGGCTGTGCTAAACCAAAAGTAGAGCAAAAGAAACATATTCAAAAATGCCAATTACCTTTCTAACCCATCCGAATTTCTTAGTGTTGTTTCTCACAGGCAATGAAAGCCATCCCTCTAGTCTCGATTCTGTAAGTAAGCACAAGCAATGGGGATAAATGTAACAATTCTCCTAAGAAAATGAAGAACTTGAAAGTTACAAAAATCAAATATGCCCTTCAGAATTTATCACTGCACATTATCTAGGATATAATAATAATGCAGGATCAGTATAAGCAAGTTATGCAATGCAAAACAAAATCCAGGTTATATCACATTGGGAATATATATTCTATAGTTTATAAAGTCAAATGCCCCTTTGATTAAACTCATGCATTTGCAAAGTTCAGCAGAAAAGTTGCAAAGAAGAGAAGCAGCTCTCTGTTCTCACTGTATTAGAATCCTTTATTTTCCCTTTGGAAGGAGGCCTAACTATAGATGTGCTGTGCATTTTCTTTGAAAAGGAAACATTTTAAGTGAGTAATTACATGTTCAGAGAAAATGAACTTTTAGAATGTTTATAAATAAAATGAAGTAAAATTGTGTAAATTACAGATCAAATGTGGTCAATGAGTAGCAATATAACCAAAGGATTTCTAAATTCCAAAACATCAATATCAGTAAAATTCTAGTTCAACGAAGGAAACTGTCTGAATCCTTAGAATTTGTTCTACTGGCATTTGATCAGTATTATTTTAATGAAATAATTAAGTGAAATAACCATTTTTTGACATTATTCTAATAAAAACTTTCACTTATTTATTAACAATCTGTATGACATGTCTGAACTGTGCGAGATGCTTTACATAAACTGTCTTTAATCCTCACAATCCCACAGAAAGGTCACACAGGGACACATCTCTGACTCCAGCACCTATACCCTCTCTGAGATCAACACCTTCCAGGCTGTATGAACAGAAATGCTGTCATTACAAACAGCCCATATGCTCAACTGTCTGGACATGGTCCTATACCAGTTTAAGAAACTAAATCAGATGACCTCTAACAGTGTGCACAAGCCTGAAATAATTTCATTGCTAAGCTCTAAAACAGCTTCAACATAATCACTTATGATTTATATTACATAGTGATATTTACCTGGGAAATGTGGTTACAGACAGTGTAAGTAATTAGAGTTACTTTACTTTGAATTCAATTAATAAGACTAAATTTTACTTTACATTCAACTGCTCATAACACTAATTTCCTGTGACATTTAAATAAATTTTTTCTCTGTTTTGCATTTATTCTCATTTCTATCTTATGTGTGTATGCCATGTTTTTAATAATGAGTGGGAGGGAGGGAGGGAAAGAAATCATTGCACAGGTTTTTCTCCTACAGGGATGATGTGTTCAAGAGACAAAAGCAAACCAACTGCTCTTTTTTACATTCATATAAATTTGTGCATTCGTGTGACCTGAAGCAATCAAATATTTAATTTATATATGTTTTATATATATATATATAGTGTGTGTGTATGCCATTTTATATCACACATAATGGCATCCACATCCTATCAGGCTGAAGTCTGAGCTCATACTTTGAGTTACTTTTTCCCAGTACAATTAACGACTTGATTTGCATGGGCACATTCTGTGACGTTCTCTTTGGCTGTCTCTGGTCAGTACCAGGTAGGCTGCATCTCTAGACTGATGTCTTCCACCTACAATTTTGGCTTTCTTCTCTGGGTCAGTGGCAGAAGTGTCCAGGAGCTCCTACCTGTGCAGATGCAATTTACTAACCAGGGGCCACTTTTATCACAAGCAAGTATGCTTGTAATGTTGCTGACATTTATCACCTTATCAGATTACCACGAGAGCAAAATTTTTGTACTTATACTAACTTGGTGTTAAGCATAACAATTTGATGTGTTTTTCATCTTTCTTTATTTAAACTCTAAGGGCAAATACCAGGTCAAATTGTCTTGTACTCTCTCTTGAGGTCTAGCAAAATGTTGACGAGGTAAGTACTCAATAAAAACCTAAACACATCTTCTAAAGCGGTCTCCATGCTCTTTTTTGTACTGTCACCCTTGATATGAACCTTTAGAAAGAATTTCTTCTTGGTTGAAATGGATGAAACAGGCAATGAAACCATATGCTCTTAAAGGATACAAGGTACTGCGCCTCATTTCTTGTAAGCTGGCAAAATAAATCTATCGATTGTAATAGCAATGCTGTGTACAAACAAATACCTTAAAAACAAACTCTGTTCATGCAGCAGTTTATTTTTAACTGAGACTAGAGTAACTTGTTAGAGTTAGTGAGTATTAATTAATGTTACAAAAGTTTTTCACAAGGACTGAAATTAAGAGTAGTGGAAAAAACCCCAAAGGCGAAAGATTTTTCAGGATATCACCTGTATCATCATTAGGTTCCGACGAAATAGGTAAGTAAGGCAAAGATTCTTCTTCTGAGTCAGAATCAGAGTCAAGAAGCATATGAGAACTGGAAGGCTTAGTGGCAATATTGAGAGAGGTAGAGGAACGTTGGTAGGTGAATGACATGGATTCCATAGTGTGTGACTGAGTGATATGAACTAAACACCCAACATAAAAAAAAAAAAAAGTAAGAATGCAGAAAAATGTTAAGAGAAAATAAAATGAAAGCTTAAAAAGAGAGTTATCTATAATACATAAAGAGCTGATTTAAATAATCCAATATGTGGAATTTTCTTTTGCATTTTTTAATGAAAAATTGTGTCAAAAATCAGTAAGTAAAATAAGTTTAAACTGTCATTTGAATCCCCACTCCAAGAAGGTTTTTCCCTTAAAGAAATGACATTTTTCCTCAAGAGCAAAGTCAGTCACAGGACTTAATACAATCAACACATTTATACTTAAGACAACAGATTTAAAAACAAACAAATATAAAGGCTAAAAACAAATTTGTACCTGGAAACCCATCATCTGCCTCCGCATCCCCTGGTCCACTGCCTATACTTGAACTATCCATCCCGATATGCAAGGCCTGGAGCTGTGACCGCAGCTGCTCAATGTCACTGTCTTTACTGTCCAGTGTCATCTGCAGTTCAATTCGAATCTGGCTCTCTTCAGCTATTTGCTATGAGAAGTTAAATTACATTAAATTAATTGGATGTCATATAGCTCACAGTTTTGCTTCTTAAATAATTATTAATAGAAATGTCCTATAACCAATTAAATATATACAGACATGAAAATAATTCTACTTCTTAAAAAGAAGTCTTCACACTCGAGTTCTAAAGTATTCTTACAGCCTGCATTTCATTCAGTTCTTTCTGATACTTGATCATCTGCTGGGTCAATTTCTCACGTTCAGATTTCAGTTCCATATGTAGCTTTCTATTCTCCTTCTCTTTTCTCCGCACATCTGTGTCACTACCACGCTTGACAGGTTCTTTTCGATTCATGATCTCAGCCAATTTATTCACAGCCTTAAAAACATAAAAGTATATAAATAAGTAAAATAAATTATGTTGATGGTTTCTAGGTAACTCACCAATAGCAAGTTATACAACCACTAATAGTCTCTCCTTCCCTAAGCACAGGGCCACAAAGAAACACCTATATTAAATAATACACCTCCTTCATTACTCATTATCTTTCTTCAACCTGTGCTCCATTCATTTTTCACTTGTGTTTTCTGAGAACCGTGATTAAAATGTTTATAGGTTTGATCTAATGTCACTTTCTACCACTTAGAGTTTTTAGTTCCAAGAGAGACTTTTACTAGGCAGATCTTCTTTTATCCTGAAGAGAATTTTGCATTGGCATCACATTAATAAAATACGACATGTCCAACCACAGAACAGAGCATCTGGGACCCACAGTATCCGTGTTGTGTATACATTTAACCATGAGAGTTGGCAGAAGGGTAGTTAATAATCACAGATACCTTTTTCAGACTAAATGGCCCTCTTTTAGGCTGTCAGCAAATTTTCATCCTCTAGAGTTTCTTAAAAGCAGAAAAACTTTACAGATTACAATAAAAAATTAGGAGGGAATGTGATTCCATATGAAAAAATTAAGAAAAACTTTAACAAACATTGAACTGGACAATGTTAATCAAATCTAGCTTCTCCCAAACTGGCAAAAATCAGATAATTGTGACTATTCATAAATACTGATGCCTTCAATGACTACTACTGCCAATCTTTAATGAGAGAAAATGTAAAAGAGATAACTAAAAACAATTCAGAATCCTAATTCGAATTTATTGTACATACTTGAGTTTTGAGTGTTCTCTCTGTTAACAGCTGCTTCTCAAATTGTGTTTTAATAGCTGCTGCACTTATCTCTTCATCTTTCAACCTCGATAGCTCTGAAATATGGAAAAATGTAAAAAATTACATGGATAACCACACCACTGACAATCATTAGGTATATTTAAAATAAACTTCATTCTTTGTTAATACATACGTTCTTGGGCATCTTTCAATTTGTTATTTAATTCTTCTTTCTCATTTGCAAGATTGGCAACATCACTAGTTAGTGTCCTATTAGTTTCTTCAAGCTAAGAAATTAAAGTGGAATAAATATCACATCCCAATTTACAAATTTAAGTTTTAAAGCAATAATTCAAAATGAAAATATCCTAGAATGTTGCTAAAACTCTTGTTTTTCTAGAACATCTATCTCTACACTTCTTGCTTTTGTGCTTTCTTACCAAACTTCACTCTTGAAAAGTTTTACTAACCATAATAGACTTCACAGACACCCCAGAAAACCAAAAATTGCTCCTCTCAAAATTCCTTAGCAATATTTTAATAAGAAAAACATTTAATAAGCTAAAAAAACCAAATGCTATAATAAGAGTTCTGCATCCATATGCAGAATTAACTAAATCTAAAACTGCAGTATTTCTTTCAGAACATTATTTTAAAACAGAAAATAAAGTTTTGCTGAAGTTGACATCCTTTCGTATTCTCTCCAAATCCTATTCCTATTCTTCCTTCCTGCAGGAATTTTTACTTTGAATGATGTGTTTGTTCATCCTTTCCATCCATGATTGTATACTTTTTTTTAAAACACAAACTAAACAACATATAGTGCAGTTTATGTGATTGTAAATTGTCCATAAATAACATGCTGTTTTTATCTTTCACTCGATATTATATTAAGAATTAAGTTATTGATATATACAAAGACCTAATTATTTCATTTTAGCCTTTTTTTTTTTTTTTTTTTTTTTT